TCTGAGCCCTACAGCGGTGTGACTTTCGTCATCACCTGGAAAAGAGGAAATTGACACAGCCTGAGAGTATCATCGAGTAACGATAAGTTTAGCCGAAAGTTATGGGATGGATTTATATTTCTGTATTTTATTTCGTTTTCTTCAATATCGGCAAAGTGGTTCTCTTCTTCGTAGGAATAATGAGAAATAAAGTTTTCCGTCGTTATGATGATGTGCAACTTCAAAATCATGTTTATATTGAGCACATTTTTCCTCCTGACACTATTCGAGAAACACATTATTATGCGAATTTTGAAGAACTTTTTAGGTGAATATATATTTATGCAAAACAGAGTATACCCGGTGTGAGGTTTCGGACGTTGTTCTCGAATCTCCGTCCCAAATCTGCTGATCGATTACTGAACGACCTTACAGAGGTTTTTTGCTCCCTCACACAGTTCAATACAGTCAGGGGAATGCCTCAGTAGTAGCGACATTTGGACGAAGCATTGCTCTATACCAAATTTGGCTGATGGGCTAGTGGTAGGAGCGGTGTTTTGTCGGTTTAGAAGCCAGTGGTTCGGATCCTTTTGGGTTTTTTCGTTGCATTTTTGTGATCGACCATCTATCAGTAGAGGAACATGATTTCTTCATCATTGGTCGACCCTAGTTTGGGTTTTGATGAGTTTAAGGTCATTAACCTTCAAAATTTTTCCTAACTTGCACCGTGTGTAAGTCAGTGCGTGCCAGTATCCATAGCGCGCTCTTCAGCCGTTTTTGACTGAAATGAAAATGAAATCTGTACTCAGGGAGTCACATCATTCCTGCGGTCAGATTCTAGAAAAAAATTGAGATTTTGACTAAACTTCGGAAAGAAGTGGACGAGTCATTACATAGTGACATCCCCCGGCGGTAGCTCCAGGGTTGAGCCATCCTAAACGATGACGACCCTTTGTATTCGAAATAAACCTACGTCAAAGTTGAAATTATGAGAATAGGAAGTCCAGTCAGTTTTATTCTCTTCAGAAAAATGGCCGAATCTTAATTCGTCCAAAGGCTGGATTCGATGATATCGTTGATAGGGTAATGGATAAGCAGATGGGCTCCTTGTGCAGTAATTCCTAATTCCAGCCTTTCCAACCATGTTGCGCTGCAAAGGCAACAGGGAGAACCCGTCAGAAATCGATCCTTCGACCTTTCGCCCATTAGTCAAGACCATTACTGCTGCTCTATTTTGCTTCATAACTCCATTCAGAGAATCGTTTTGACTGATTTTGGGGGCAGATTCGAGATCACGGTCTAAAAACACATCCACCAGTGCATGTTGCATTGCATATAACCAACAGTGACCCAACATTCCTTTCCTGGTTACATATCCTCTTGTCGAGTGAACACACAAGTACCCTCAGAGATTCAAACGCACCAAAGTGGGGCAGAAACGAAATCTGTGCTTAATCCTACTATATATAATTCGCTAAGTATGTCTGTGTGTGTGTGGTGTGTGTGTGTGTGTGTGTGTTTGACCGGAAATTCATAGCTCGAGTCACAGTAACGATAGCGCAGTGGTTCTTACATATGTTATAGGGGGTGGGATGGGGACACAAGTGGTACGTGATAGGAACTGATAACGACTGATAATAGCTGATAAGAGGGGCTAGAAAGCGAGCATCGCCAATTTCGTTTTGTCGTTCATATTGGTACTAGCGTCTATACTTACAAGTCTTATGTGGGGCGGTCCCGGGACATTGGTGGTACATGATTGGAAGCGATAGCAACTGATAATGGCTGATAAGATGCGCTAGAACGCAAAAGTCGTCGATTCCGTTGCCTGGCTCGCGTTGACACCAGAGCAACCATACTTACAAGTGTTATGTGGGGTGGGACGGGGACATTGTTGGTGGGTGCCAGAAACTGATAACGATTGATAAGGGCCGATAAGGCGCGCCAGAACGCAAAAGTCGTCAATTTCGTTACGCAGCGTTGACACTAGAGCGTTCCTACTTACAAATTGTAGTAAGTCGTAGTAGTACAAACAAAGGTACGTGCACATTATTTCGATATATATATCCAGCTTACTTAATAGAATTCGACTGCATAAACTTTAAAAAACAAGTCTTCAGCAAATGATAAGTTTCATTTCTGACTATTAAGAAAACCCAAACTCATTAAACCGCTAATCCTTTCGTGGTTCTAAATAATGATGAATGTAAATGAATGATAAGCATTAGCTCCTCACTTATGTAAATAGGCATATTTCGTTTTGATTTTGAGACTGACAGCAATCCTATTCACCGCTAAATTATCTTAATTCAAGAAAAATGCTGGATGTTTACAGAGTTGTGATCAATATACCAGTTCAGCTCAGACGTTATCACGCGTATTCTCGATGAGCTTCAGTGAAACTGTGGAGGGTCTAACACAGTCAATAGTGAGATGGTTAATGGAGTATCTCATGCTGATATTCCATGGGTCCTCCAATTTCGCTAAAGCCTGCCGTGTGATGCGCGCGATAGCGGGCGAAGCAAAACTGGTATATACATATTGCAACACGCTAGTGGATAACCACATGTGGAGAATAATACTTAGCAAGGAATATGAAGCCTCACTAGGAATCATTCCTGCACACTATTAGTCCAAGCTAATTTATTTTCAATGTGACCTCTGGTCTTTTGGAGAAGGTCAAAGATTTTTCTCGAATTTATGGTACTCGGCACTTCGGCACAAATGCGCACTGCGTTGATTCGGGCAAACAGGTGGAATTCTCTCAAAATTTCTCGAATGCATCAATACGTATTTCCGGTGACTACGAAATTGGCCACGAATCAACTGCTGATGAGATCACTTTGCAGGACAGCAATGCTCTTGATCTATTCCCGAAACCAGCGCGAACTGCTTCCGACTCAGGAACGCCTTTGAATAAGCTGCAGAAGATTGCAATGGGTGCAAAAAAAGGACAAGGATGTATGAGTAACATTCGCTATTTATATAAATTTCACCGCTATGTTTTCACACATGATTATGAGTTAAGGAACATAGGATGTATACCGTAACCCATAATTTGCGCCAAAACGCAGTCCAGGCTTTTCAACCCTTTCCGGTCCGCGCATTTTTCACGTGGCGGGCGCATGTGGCCGGTGCCTCTTTGTACTCACCGCCACACGCTGCGCGACGAGCACAAACATCATATATTTAATCTGTACAGTTTTGCTCAGAGTGGAAAGTTCCATTAGTTTAGTTATTGGGCACTAGTTAAGGACCGAAGTCTAGGTTTTTTCATACGTACGACATGAGCAGGTTACATAGACTAGTAGCAACACTAAAAGATCCTGTCGAATAACAGAATTCTCGGAAAAATCACCTTTTGGAGTCCCCTGACACCCCATGGGTATCAGGTGGCCACAGGGAACAAATTAGACCTGACACCCTAAGGGTGTCAGGCGGTCCGGAAAGGGGTTAACGCCCAATGCCAGTACTAGTGTGAGAGCGAACACAATCAACGACGCCACCCCGGCGCTACAGGGCAGCGATACGAAAATGGAGCGGGGTCGCATCGCGCGCCTGACTGCGCGAACGTGGGTCACGGTAACGTTGCGCGCAGTATGGCTGGTGAGTTTGCTGGACGCATTCATCCTCTTTGAGAGAGCGCAGAGAGAACGAGAAGCGAGAGGCGAGCTTGTATGGAAAATCGATGACAGGAGACATTACACGCCCCACTGCCAGCACCCCAACGTCGACAGGTTTACGGTATACAGCCTGTGTTCCTGAACTTATGATCTTCTTGTTTTCCCTTTACTTAATGCCCAAGTTTTACGGCGAGAAAAAGCAGATAAGGTCTAAAACAATATCTTAGGCTTATCCTACATTCGATGATATCAAGAGCGACTGGCTGGTAGGCAATGACGGCTCCTAATGTTTTCTGAGACTGATTTACATCGATTCACACTTATTTTATACGTATACCAGGTTTGCTCCGCCCGCTATCGCGCGCATCACAGGGTAGGGAGGAACCACGGAATAGCAGCATGACGTACTCCATTAACCACCTCACTATTGAATGTGTTATACCTCCTTATACCCTCCTCTCCGGCCTCTCCCCCTCTCCACCCTCCCTCTCCCCCCGCTCATCCGGCTGCCACCATGTAGAATGAGACTGAGTGTGCTCGATCGGTGTTTATATAGCCGCTGTGGGTTTATCATGATCATGACATCAACATCACGAAGTGTTGCCCTTCGTACTCCCTGGTTTTGTGAGCGGTTCGGTCCGGACGGACAGAACGACACACACACACCGACAAACCGACACACCAAAGTTCTGGTTTATATACAGTCGATATCTCGAAGTCTGATTGGGCGTGTCACCGGAAATGACGTGGCAGCCACCGCACTTGATAGATGTTGTGTGGATAAAATACTCCGCCAGATATCAGCAAAGCGTGTTGGAAGCAGCTTATCCGCGCAACTTCTATCAAGTGCGGTGGCTGCCACGTCATTTCCGGTGACACGCCCAATCAGACTTCGAGATATCGACTGTAATGAAGTGATCGATTCTACTTGATTGTGTTCACTTTTTGTTCAACAATTCACATCGTGTTATTGTTGCTTTTCTCACGTATGCCTTCCGCAAACGTAATAAACTTATACTTATACTTGAAGAAGAAGGCTCTTTAAATAGTGTTCAAAGGGGTTGTTTAAATCACGAAACCAATTGAGTGCGTAATGAGACAGCGTAGAGGTTGCGAAAGCCAAATCATGGTTGACGCAGAAATATGTGCATTCTAGTGAAGACTTTTCCTCTTCGGAAAACGTTAAAAAATCGAGCTGCAGTGAACACATGGTTTCCCGTTCATTCTTCTTCATGGACAAAGACTTGTGGTGCTTAACTCAATCGATGGAGAAACCTCGTAACTTGAAGTGAAAAAGAAAATTGTCTAACTTTTAGTAACTTTTGTGAGCTTTTTCGGTGCAGTAAATGCACTGAAATCTCTCAAAAACTCTCGATGAACCTAATATTAAGACCAAACCGGCTGCGTGGGGTGAGGAGTGTGAGGCGTGTGAGGCGTTTTCGACCGTTTTCCTTTCTTCAACTGAACCATAACACTGGCTTTCCGCTTCTGTTTTGAACCTTTGTGCGAGCTTTTCGACTGCTTCGAAGGTCTTGATGACGATGATGATGCTTTCTTCTTAGACATCTCTTTTGACCCTCTGGAACTTTCTTCAGACTCTTTCAAGAAGTCCTGGAAATATCAGCAGAATTTCAAGTAATTATTGAGCGTGTTTACTGATGTCAAAGGATCCTCCCCGAGAAAATCATGCTTCCATTTCAGTTATAAATCACTGGCTTGAGACCCATCGTTCACGATAAGAACGAAAAGAACAAAAAATTGCATTTGTTTTGGTAAACAATTCGAAAAACCGGAAGGACTGCTACGCGTTCAAATTCCCGCCGGACATCTGTCACAAATGCTGGCGGCGGGAACGCTTCCACTTGGTTCTTGGAGTGCCGTCACTAGAAACTCTTTTTGCCTTTTGCTTATTGCATTCACATCTCACACTTCTACTGCATCCTATTCTATCGATCACCTTTCACTTCCTTCAATGTGTTGCTTGATAGCTCCAAGGCGCACTTCTCTCCATGTTCCGCTTTTAGCTTCGCGCGACCTACCTTGACCTCCATGCAGTGTGGTTCTCGCGTGTTTGTCTCTCTTCGGCAACTGAATCTT